TTCATAATCTTCTCCTTAAAAGCTTTCTCCCATTTTGAAAGATAGTCGTGAATCTGCCTCAATTATACCCTTGCAGTCATGTGAAGGGTGTCTGATTTACCATTTCTTTTCCAAATTTTTGCTGCCATCACGAGGAGAGCTCAGTTACAACAGCAACAGCAGCAGCATCGATGCCTGCTAAAGAGTATGCGTATATGTTTTGATGGTTGTCAGCTGACGCGGCTTCTCTGTTCCGAGTGGCAATATCTCAACTGCCAACTCCAAACGAGGGACCCAAACGGACTGGGAACAAAATGGTTTGGGAGACCTCACAACGGTTTTCTATTCCATCAGCAACATTCGTTTTTGATATTGAAACGTTTTTGGTATTGGGACTGATTGTGTGAAAAGATGTGGGATGGTTGGTCAGGAAGGGTTGTATGCTGGGCGTGAAAACGCCATGTACTCGTTCTGATAGAAATTTTACTCTCAGTGTTTATCAGTTTTTCCTTCGTTATTTTTGCTAGCATATTTTCTTTTACTTCAATTATCCCATGGAAACAATAGATTCTAATGACAGTTCTCGACCAGGTCACCTTTTAGGTCGGGGTCTGTTCCATTTTATTTGTTAAAGGATTAGGACTTCCTCAGAGGTAGGTGGAAAAGGCGAAGAATACGCTGCTCCACATAATGATAACTCATAAAGTTAAAGGTTTTAGGTTAGGTGGAATTATATTAATGGAGCAGAAAAGGCTGTTAAGGGATTACTCAGGCAAATACGGTTTAGCGTAAGTGGCTGAATACTTTTGAATAGCCTGTTCTACGATAGGTAAGCTCCAGCTTAGTGCTGATCACCGCGACCGAATCTGGTCAAATCCTGAAAGGGCCGTGATTTATGGCAAAAAGGGTGTAGAAAAGCGGCTGTGTTGAGCTGTGGTTATATTGAAGTGGTGGAGTGAAGGCATAGCTTGTGCATATTTGCTTCTGCAGGTAGAAATTTATGATGACCTTACGCGTAGGGTATTGTTACGTAGAATGAGTTCTTAATGTTGACCCCTGCAAAGCTCATAGGCTCTCACATTGGCTAGCCTTACCCTGCCCTTATTTACTCCGGATAGTTGCACTTCAGAAATCATTTCTTCGAATTTTTTTTATTTCATTTTTTTTCTGCGGCTCGAAGCTCGCTGCTTTTTCTTACGGTCCGATCCGCTAGAATAGTGCTGTTGATCTGAAGTATGTATTGAATTGTGAGCACTGTGTACATAGGATCACCGCAGGATCGTGTCAGCTACGTTAGCTGTGCAAACATCAAAACCGGCTTCACTTACGTGATGCACTGTGACAGCTCTTTGTGATGCCATTGTAGTGATTCTTAAATTTACTCAAGAGGTCTCTTCTCAGAGAAGTTTCAATTGTACTGCTCCTTTTCGACGTGCTCAAAAAGTGCATGAACTTGAGCTTTGCGAAGAATTCTGAGGGCTTCCCAGTTCACAACACGTAAGGGGCTGAAATTGAAGGAGGCTTAAAAACAAAGGAAACTGATAGAGAATGTGTCATGCTTATGTATCCAACGACCTTTTATATCAGAAATTTCGGGAGCAAATTGCACATAATCCATTCAGTTCGTTTTCCCCAACACATTGCCCTCAGTTTGGTGAGGGTGGCATTCATATTGGTTGAGCATGACGTGCCGCTGTCGACATCATCCATTCACTTCTTTGCCTCAGGCATTGAACACATTGTTCGGGAGTGCATAAACGAGTAGTTCGCGCACCACTCACCTTCCT